AGAGCAAGTGCAGGCTGCCACTGCGGGTTGGGCCAGGGCTGCACTTGGGGTGGGCAGTGGTGGCGTTATGACAGGGGAGCTACAGCAAATTTTGGGGTGGCTGTAACCCACCTTGTAGTCCCCTCCCTTCAACACTGCCACCAGCCCGAACGCAGCTCCGCCCTCCCCAATTCCCCCCCCAGGCACAGCTTGGTGCCGCCCCTGTCCCCAGCGGCAGCCTGCCCTCACCCTGCCCACAGATCCAAGGGGCACATGTCCCCCGTGGCTCCCCTAGGGGATGAGTAGTGATGGCGTCCATTCCCGCCACCCCATGCCCCTTGGATGAGCCTCCATCCCACACTCTGCCCCACCCCAGCTGAGCAGCGCCTGCCCCAGCCCCAGCCCCACTCTCTCCCTCACTGCAGGGGCCTCAATCTGCCACCCCCAAAACAGACTTACCACCTGGATGCTACTCTCTAAGCTGCTGGGCTGCACATCAGCAAGTCAGATCCGTATCGGCCAATATGGCTCACTGGTATTGGCCCCAAAAAATCTTTATCAGTGCACCCCTAATATTTGCTAAACATTAGGCATTGGAAACCCCAAATCTCTTAATTACTACCAAAAATTTATGCATTGCATACTTTCAGTATTATGGTTTTTATTAAAAGTCTAATAAAGATACAGATAAGAAACACTTAGTACAGCCTTCTATTTTTCTGACTTGTCTCAATCTTGATAATTTCACTGTTTCATAATGTGTTCTTCCGTTGTTTGTGCACCTGCTTAAATTGTTGATTTTTTTAATTTAGTCTTTCAATTATTCAAACAACTACAGGTTCCATATCTGCAGGTTACTTTATGTCTCAATTCAAATTTACTATAGTTAGGGCAAGACTCAAATATACTGACACATTGTATAGAAAGGATTAGCGTGTTGGTCATGAACATTACTCTAATTTACAAGTGACTGGACTGCTCTGCAACTTACAATAGTGTGTATGGCTACACTGGCAGACCCCTATGGCTACACTGGGCAGCTTTATCAGATACTAGACCAACTTTGGCCCTGATATATGCACCATCAGTTCCATTAACTACAAGGGAGATGTACCCGCTTCACTGGAATTATACTAGAGGTGAATCTGCACATACTGTGTACACACTTCATTATGTAAGTAATTATTTTTTCTTGTTTGTTTGAAGAAGAGGCCCTGGTTATTTACTATCATACTCTGAAAAGACATGTTTTTATTTCAGAGGACATACGTCTTTCAAAAAATTACACATTAAACAGGTATGGCAAAGCCTCAAGTATGATTAAGCCAACTTGAGATATACAATGTGCTCTCAGATGAGAAAAATTCTCTCTGTATAAACTTTTGAATATCCAGATACTTTATGTTCTACATATTTGATTCCCCTGAGCAAGCTACATCTCAAAACTTGGATAACATAACCTCAATCAACATTGTGATCCTGGGAAAAGACATTTACCTTGCTTCCACCTGCTAGCTATACAACACACGAACAAGCTTAGCCGAATTTCCAAACTGGACAGAAAAATAAAATGAATCTAGAATAGATATTTGAAACTTAAGTAATCAAAAAGCTTTTCAACACATACACAGAAGGGCATCTAAACTGTAGTAAAAGAGCTGCAGAGCAAGTACTAAAGAACAAAATCAGACCAAGATGAAGCTACACACTACATCCTTCGATCGCTACATGCTAATGACTGTACAAACCTCTGTGGCAGTGGTTTCACCATCAGCTGCAGTATCCGTCTGTTCACTGTCAGTCTATTTTGTTACACAAGTAACCAGGTTCCAATAGGTAAGCAGGAATAAAGAATAAACCCAACTTGTCAGTAAATACAGGTCACAGCTTGAATTGCTAAACCTACACCCTTGTGAAATGCATCTGCATGGCTTTTTAAACCAGAGACATCTTAAAGCAGCAAAATAAAAACGCTATAGTTAATAAACAGAACAGACTCAGAGGAAGACTCAAGGCATACTGCACACGGTATATGGCTTTACTGTAACAACTTTATCAGCCAAACAAAACATTACCTGAAAAATGTTATTTGAATAGTAGGGTTTCCTTTTAAGAAAGCCAGGTGGCTTTTTAAAAAAGCAAAACCTTGTAAACATACATACACATACAAAAACAAACCTTTCCCCCACAGTGGAAAAGAAAAGCAAAAAACAAAAACTAAAATCTAGTTTATTATTTATTCTAGTTGATATGGTCACTGTGGTGTTTCAATTTGTATTTGGAAGGGAAAAAGGATACATTTTTTTGAAAAATAAAAAGCTACTTTAAGTCACCTGACTTTCAGCCCCTCATTTGCACATATTTTATTATTTTCCTTGCATTTAAACATTATGAGGGTGTCTGCATTACCAAGGAACCCAAACATATACACAGCCATCTACAGTCTGTCTGTGTTACTTTCTTAGCCTCAAACTCCATTTGTTATTGCTAATGTAGAGGTGCTAGTAGTCACTAATAGTACAAATTTATCATTAATTTGAAGTCATAATTTTCTTTAACATTTTCATTCCAATTGAATACTGAAATACTAGGAAAAGATTAAAAACAACCCCCCTGCAGCATCCACTAGTTACAAACGGTGAAGATGAAACAAAGCACAGCATTATACAGTCTAGATCTGTCCCAATTTGTAGGCTTGATTAGTAGAACACCTACATAATTAAGACCAGCTTTGAAAAGACAATATGAATATCAAGATAAATAAACAGGTAATCTAATTGAGTTTACATGTTGTTGGGGGAAGAGGTAGGTTCAAATGATTAAATAAGAGTGCAGATGGTCAAAATCATGACTCTAAGAACAGTAAAGCTTCATAGGGAGCAAGTGCCACAGAATGGCCTGGATTTGCAAACACAACTTCATCTAGCATCTGTGAGAGTGCCACTGACCAATAACCATATCTGATCATAATATAATAAAAGAATAACTTTATATTATAGTAAATTTATAGATAAAATCCCTCAGTCCCATTAATATGAAGTGATAGAGAAAAGGCAATAGAGTTTAAGATATAAGGTATATCAATCTTAACTGTAGATTTCCGGTTTTCTTCCTGCTTATAGGAACTTTAATGTTGTTAGACTGATTTTAGCTATTTCCTTCAATCGCCTTTTTCTCTACCCTTCCTTTAAAATAAAGTGTACAGAATGTGAATTTTACATTTGGTAGCTGGAACAATAGGCAGACATTTTTATCTACTTCATAAATGCATATGTCTGAATATTTACAATTTTGTAGTATAACCTGCTGACTGGACAGCAGGTCCTTTTTTGTTGGTAAATGATTTGTACCACCATAATCCATAGATTTCGTAAAAATATTTTCCTATAAGCATTAAAAATTTTTACAAAAAGATTCTACCCAAGCTTTGTTAATAACTCACCCATTCATTTTCTTGATACATCATTGATATCATATAAGACACAAATTGCTATTGTGCTGTATCAATATAATCTGCCTGTTTTATGTCTGTAACTTAAAAACAGTTGGAACAATGAGGTCATGGATTGTTTTTAATAATAAATAAATACATATATCTGGGGTCAAAATACTGTGATGCTAAATTTAGGCATCATGGTATTTTCAGCAATTAAATTAAGCAATTTAGCAATATATTTTTAGCAATTAAGAATTGAGGCATTCAATGAAAAGGCTGTCAGAAAACTTTGCTGCTAAGGCATGAATAGTGCAGCTAAGTGAAACAAAAGGGACATATTCTGCATCTGGATGCACAGACAGCTTTTAGAAGGAGATGCCAATGCACTTCTGAGGGTAGAATGTGTCCAAGAAGTTTCTGAAGAATAAATTCCTTAAGTGTGTGGCATTTACTGTAGCTTTTTACTGCCTTGCAGATCATTGGGTTCACTGTCTTTTGAAACGTATGCTTTATGTAGAGTTATTTATTTCTTCCTTAAGGTACTGAAATAATGAATATAAGATACATGAAATACTGAACACAGTTTATACTCAAGATGTACAAGTCTGCTAATAAGCCAGTCTCCAGGCACTAAAAGCCAGGCACTAAAATTCAATGTTACCGGATGCTTTGTCAAATAAGGATTTGAAGCTATTGCAGTGCAAGGAAATGGGGTCTGAAGAGGCTCAGAAAGGCAGGGTTCCTGGGAGTGGAGAGTTATAAGGATGGTTGGTTAAAACCATAAAGGAACAGTGATGCTCTGAACAATATGCAGCTGCTAGAGCTAATTGGTTGGCTACAGGATTTGCCAGGAAATAAAGACTGCTATATCTTCATAAGTTTCAGTTACGTGTCCTCTGACTTGAGACAATAACTGCTGTGATTTGTTTTGCCAATGTAATGCAGACATGCCCAAGTTTAAGACATATTAACTTTCATGCAATATTTTGAACAAGAAATATACCCTGGATTAGGCACAAGTCTGTGTAGTTTACCACTGAGGTACTGCCAGGGTGATCAGCATCATAAAAGGAGTAAGCTGCACAATAAATATTTTACAATGTATTGTGCTGACATAAGCTAACCCTAATACTAAGAGGTACTCATTACTGAGAGAAAAATAAGCAAGTGGGTTACATAAACCCTGTCTTATTGTTGGCAATACACTGTGCCTCTAGGGATGCAATATATAAATACGCTATCTTGTTTTGAGATAATAAAACAGAATCCTGGATGCCTTCCTTAATTTATTATTTCTTAAGTATTAGAACCAAGAACATGTGAAGAAAATGCTGGTACAGTATAAACAGATATAATTTTGGCATTCCATCAAAAGGGAAGACTATCTTGATTCTGAACGTTGCTAAAAAAACCCTTATCAGACTTAGAAAAATGTTTAAATGCCCAGAATATGCATACTATACAAGTCAGATACAATCTCTGCATATATCAGTAATTAGTTCTAGTAATCTGTGAATGACATTGCTTGACTACCTGCAAATACACTAGTCATGCAAGCAACAAAGGCACATTATTGCACATATGACTCTTTTAAACCTTGTTCCGTGCCTTTACTCTGTCAGTCAGGAGTAAGGGAGGTACCAGAAGCAATACATGGTATTCATAAGGAGTGCTGTCTGAATACATGGTAGGGAAAATGTCCCTGTGGGAAATGTTGTTAGCAAAGGACTGTTGCTATTATTAGGTGTTGCTGCAAAGAGGAATAAAACGTATAACTAAGTAGATTCCTTTTCTGCTTCTGTTGTATTATTACATCACATACTGACTTTCTCAACAGCATTATGGGCTCCTGTTTGCTAGTCCAGCTGTTTTATCAGCATGTTGCAATGAGTTATTCATCCTAGCAACAGGAAGAATCAATTCTGGTAGCGCTAATTTAATAATGCAATTGGTAGCTTGGAACAGTATTAATGGTGCAGTAGCAGCTGCAAAACTGGTACCAACTCAATTTTTCAATGGTAGCAGGGTACTGAGTGGGAAATGCAAACAGTATCGACAAGGAGAGAGAGAGAACTGAGGCAAAAGCTCCAGATCCAGATTTAAGGGGTATTAGAACATGAGGTTTTTGCTTGGCTTGTTATGAAACCAAAGGGTATTTGCAAACTCCTGATTCTTGTTTGGATTCTGAACACCCACAGCATTTTTTACTATGCCCATAATTCACTGGTTGATATGCAACTAACTGGAAAATTGCATCTAAGCTACTTGATATTTAGGAAACAATTCTACAGCTGTTAGTGTAAACCAGGGAAAAAAACCCAACTGGAAGAATGTGAAGCTAGATATGGCACTTTAAAGTTGATTTGTCACAATTTGCAGCTCACTATGCCTCACCTGACAGTCTGAAACAGCAAGACACTACCTTACTTACTTACTTACACACAGTGTTGTGCCTAACCCTGGGGCCCAGGCTGCACTCCCAACATGAAAAAACTGTAACATATCAGCACAGACAGAAATGAGGCTCTGAAAGTAGGACTATTGCAGCATTCTAACACTGTTTAGGACTGAAGCACTGAACACAAAAGAAAAAGTGTGTTCTATGCCGAGGTACACACCTCTTCCTCTGAACTGTCACTCAGGTCATTGTCAAGTGAGGCACTCAAGGAGGCCGCCTTGGGCTCCAGGTAGCAGAGGCACATAGCCAGAGGAAAGGAGAGAGTGAGGGCATATGGTACTGAGAAAGAGGCGGATAGGAGAAAGAAAAAGATGAAAAGGAAACAAGGTACGAGGGATGGTGATCGGATGGGAAGGTAATGCTGCAAACTTTCAGGCAGGAAGTTGGTTTCAGAGAAGTTAGGGAGGGAAAGGTAGCCATCATCATCCAGGAGAGAAGGAAATGACTCTGGAAGTTGCAAGGAGAAGGAAAACAAAGTTCCACCTTTACCAGCTTTTTGCTTATAGTTAAATTTCATATCTTGTTCAGCAGAGCAAACTCTTCCTTTTTTGTCAGAGTCCAAGTCAGACTCACCAGAGGTTTGAACACTGTCTTTAGGTGACTCGCAACCTACTGATTTTCGAGGATTCTCCTTACACCTCTTACGGAGCTTTGTTGAAGATACAGGGGGGGCAGATGGTGAGGATGGTGAGGAATGGAATGAATCAGTGCCAAGCAAAGATGGCTGATGAAAGAGAAAGAGCAGCAAACAAGGTGCAAAAGCAAAAGGACAAAAAGAAAACTGTAATTAGTTAATTTCCTTCTGTGTTTATCAATATAAAATTACAAACAGAACTTATAAACAAAGCTTTTTAGCTGAATTTAATGATGCAAGTTTCCACACTTCATGCCACAGCTATTAGTGACTAAGGGTTACAGCTTACAAAAAGCATCTTTTTCATTCAACATCTCTTTTTTAAGTCAGAACATAAAATTTAAATAAACATCCTTTAAAGGAACTGTGTTCATATGCAATTTAAGATGTGGTGGATCCATCTTTTATAATAATCACTTTGAACATTACAACAACACCAACAAAAATATTTGGAAACAAGGGAACATACCAGTAACTATCCTGTTTATGAAAGCATGTCCTGCAAGTTTTAGGCAAGTTAATCAGAGAACTGCCTGGGAAAGAACTGGGCACTAAATGGGAATTCTTCAGCAAAAAGAGCAGGCAGGCAGCTTTCATATGTGCCTTTGAAAATCTCCTCCAAAATGACTTAGTCGAAGACTTTCAATAATCTTTCTGCACAGGCTGTCTAACAAAGTAAGATGTCCCAGAACTAAAAATGATCAAAGTGAACACTTTGGTTTTGAGAAGGATTTTCCCAGCTCAATTATTACCTGGCTTTAACTGATGGGAAGCTGAGAAGGAAAAAACCATAGCTGAAGTTGTTTAACATGGGAAACCAGATCTTCAGGTAACTCCACTTATTGATGTCATCCGAGGAACTGAGCAACATGTTTAAATTTCTACTCTCCCTTCTGTTTTATGACTAAGGCTAGCAGATCAATTATCACTTTGTACAGAAAGAAGCCTTGCCTAATAATCTAGTAACTATTTATACTGACTATTTATAACTACTAAGGTGGCTCTGGTCATCCTATAACTCCCAAATGACTGGGCTATTTTGAAGGGGAATGGGGTATAGGAAGAATAATGAGATTTTCATACCTCCTAAGCTCCTGGGTGAAGGGATAATGTGCACAATCCCCAAATAGGATCTGATATACAGGAAGTTTTGCAATAGGCTGAAAGAAAGAAGTTGGGGGCTATGCAACCACAGTATCCTCACTGACAGTGCAAAAGTATGTTAGCCAGTACGGCTGTGCAAAGCTTCGGTCCCTGATTTGACTTGGCGGAATTCAGCCAGATTCCGAGGCCGAATCTCTGAATCTGAATCAAATCAGAGGACCCTTTAATCTCTCCGAATCAAAACTGGAACCCTCTGAATCAATTTGGAGAGATATAGACATAGTGACAGCTTTGAATGTTTGGTTTTTTTACATACCTCTAGGTAGCAGGGGCTTGTGAATGCTGTGATGTTGGGGTGCATAGAGGGTTCCACAGAAGCGCGGGGGGCTCCCCAGCATGCTTGGCAGCAGACCTGGAAGTGGACCAGAAGCATTTTTGGTCCACTTCCGGGTCTGTGTGCACGCCCCCCCTCCCCCCCGATGACTGGTGCCTTCTGGGTCTGGGGGGGGGGGCACC